GGTTGTGCCATGTGGCAGACTGACACTTGTTGTTAATTAACCATTCCTATTGTATTCTATCATTCATATTTATTTAACTGGCAGAGCCTTTTTAACTTAGCAAATTAAATTAAGTACTCGATCATGTTTAATTAATTAGAATTGTCAATACTATTATTAGTAATGTTAATGTAGCCATGGCTTTGTCTTTGATGTAGCCTTTACACTGATTCTGAAGTACAGACTATCATTTTTTATAAAACGCTGGTTATTAGTTGGCCTATAAGCGTGTGATAAGAATTTAGGATTACCCCATTCTTCGCTCTCTTCTCCTTTACTCACTCTTTGTTTACAATCATCTGGTGTTGCTTCAGTATAATGTACAACCTTCTTCCAATGATTCTTATCCTCCAGTTGATTCAGTAGCTCTACTGTAACTTCTCCTTGAAATGGCCACTCCAATGTATCATCATATTCTCCTCCCAAGAGGCTAATGAAGCAAGAGAAGTGTGTACCTTTACCATCACCATCACCTTTTGGATAGACATGTAGTGACATCTTGTATCCTCCTGGTGATGTGTAGAATCCTCGACTATGCCATCCTTCTTTCCATTGTGATAATTGGCTGAATTTAAGCACTTGACTTGATGTCGTCAATAGATTTTCGTGCTCTTGTACTTTTGCTTTTAGAGATTCTATTGTCTCTGTGGCCTCTTTCAATTGTTGGTCAGTAAGTTGTAGTTGTTCTTCTGTCAATACTAGTTCCTCCTTTGTCAGCTGTAGGTGTAGTAATGATGATTCTTCATTGTGCTTCTCTTGTTCTTCTCTCTTCATTCTCTTCTCACATCCAACAGTATTGTATTCACATGGTATGATAGCTTTAGGGCAGGTCTCGTTGTGTGATGCTAGTGAATGTCTCAATATCTTCTCATTGCAACCTTCATTACTGCATTGGATTGGGAGGTCAGGACACTCATCAAGATGACTGCTGCTTGTTATCAGTTGATATCGACCTTTTCGCTTGCAATACTGACAGTTAACAATGCGTTGAGTACAGTTGTCTGTCAGATGTGTCTCCAGTGTACTTCTCCTAATCTTCTCACCACACTCATTAGTACAAGGTACCAGGTGATAGATACAGCTGCTATTAAGATGAGTGTCAATTGATGTACCAGTTTCATTAATAGTTCCCTGCCACTCACAACCCTCCTCACTGTTAGTACAGTGAATCTTAAGGGCTGTGATCTCACGATTGAGCTTTCCATCATTGAAAAAGCTCAATTCTTCCTGACAAAGAGGACATTTTGGTTGCTTCACTGATAGTCCAAGTTGCTCCAGACAGGTCTTACAGAAGGTATTGTAGCAGCAGGTAACTTGTTGAGGATCACAAGATACTAATGTACAGATGGCACAAATGTATCTACTGGGAGGATCACCATCAACAAACTTAAACTCATATCCACCATATGGTTTGGCCATTTTGAAGTAGAGGTGGGGCTTTATTTAATTATTACCCATTAATTACAATTTTAATTATTTCTTGAGCCTGTTGAGTACATGTACATATAATTGTAATATTATTTGTTGTAAGTTGAACTTTGATGACTAAATAACACTTTATTAATCCTATATATGCATGCATTTGATAATACTTTAGTTTTATGTATTTAAAGTTTTAGGAGTACACAGTATAAACAGTTTCCCCTTAGCCATGCGTATTTTAAGACCATGTAAGGGTCTGGCCAGGGAGACTGACCATGTGCCTCATTGTGCCATGTGGCTGACTGACAATTAATGTAATAAGTAGATAACCATTATTTTTATCACTATTATAACAGAGTACATTATAACCATCTGGACTCTTATCATACACCATGAAAACGTGTTTGTGTTATGAAACATGCTCAGGCATAGCCTTTATAGTAATAGTTTCTGCTAGTCATGCATGTATCCTTTACATTTTGCAATAAGTATAAACTAGTATATTATTTTTAAGATACTGACATCTTCTAAATAGATTATACTCTAATTCTTCATGTGATTTGAACATCAAGGTGTAACATGATGCTCTTCATAACAAAATTATTTCAAAATACTGAATTCATTATCTAAGTGTTTGTTAGTTTATCTTAATGCCAGCCATGGCTTTGTCTTCGATGTAGTGACTCTGAAGTACAGACTATCATCTTTAAGATACTGACAATTAGTAACTGGATCATACTCTAACTCTTCATGTGGTATAAATTTCTGACGACCCATTCCTACTGTGTTTCTACCTTCCCTTACTCTTTGCTTATATCTATCTGGTGTTGACTCATCAAATGGTACAGACAACTTACAATGATTCTTATCCTCCAGTTGATTCAGTAGCTCTACTGTAACTTCTCCTTGAAATGGCCACTCCAATATATCATCATATTCTCCTGCCATGAGACATATGTAGCATGAGACATGTGTGTCTTCACCATCATCACATCCATTAGCAACAACATTTAATGACACCTTATATCCTCCTGGTGATGTATAGAAGCCTGGACTGTACCAATCCTCTTCTTCTTCTTTCAGTTCTGTGTATTCATTTAGCTTAAAGAGTTGGTTGGTTGGAAGTAGTACCTCAATCTTCTTCACTGCTGCCTTCAGATGCTGTTTCATCGATTCTTCATTGTGCTTCTCTTGTTCTTCTCTCTTCATTCTCTTTTCACATCCAACAGTATTGTATTCACATGGTACAATAGCTTTAGGGCAGGTCTCATTGTGTGATGCTCGTGAACGTCTCAATATCTTCTTATTGCAACCTTCATTACTACATTGGATTAAGAGGTCAGGACACTCATCAAGATGGCTTTCACTTGCTATCAACTTCCACAGTCCTTTTCGCTTGCAATACTGACAGTTAACCATTTGTTTAGTACAGTTGTCTGTCAGATGTGTCTTCAGTGAACTTCTCCTAATCATCTCTCCACACTCATTAGTACAAGGTACCAGTTGATAGGTACAACTATTAATAAGATGAGTATCAATATCATTAATAGTCCCCATCCATTGGCACCCACTATCAGTGTTAGTGCAATAAACCTTAAGTGACTTTATTCCCCTTTCTACTCTTCCATCTTTAAAGTACTTTCCTTCTAGTGAGCTACGACAAGTTGGGCAGATAAACCCTTGGCCCTTCTCTTTTAGTGTATCCAGACAGCTCTTACAGTATATATTGTAGCAGCAGGTAACTTGTTGAGGATCCTGTGCTACCAGTGTACAGATGTGGCATTGATACTCATCTGGAGGATCACCATCAACAAACTTAAAGTCATATCCACCTCCATAGTCATCACATGTAGCCATTGTTACCATGTGACATTTACTAACTTTTATTTTATTAACCATTATAGATCTATTACTGTTTGGGTTTTATTTAGTGAATGTCTGTCAACATCTCATTCACTAAAAACTTAGTATTTTTCTTATTGTACAGTTATACCTGTACAGCTACCGATACCATCTGTTCTTGCATACAATGGTTTGGTATAGGTTCTAGTATCCCATGATTATTTCAATTACTACCACTGCCCACCATTGTCATCCTAACACTCATTCTCATACAAGCTATAGTGCCAAATGAAATGCAGATGCATAGATACCGCATCATGTGGTAGCTATAGATTCTGTGTTTATTGCATGGCTATGCTTGTAATTGAGGTTTAAGACTTTGAGAGATATTCTGTTGATTTTAATAGAATCATAAAACATTAGTAAAGTAAGAGTTATGGTGTAGTGTATACATAATGCCAATTATAATTATAATGAGGATAAGAAAGAGACTGAGAGTGTATACATGTGTACTATATAAGATAATATAAAAGAGTATTGTCACTGTCATACAAGCATACAAACATTACTATTGTGCAAGTACATCTTGAAAAAATATGTCACCTTCCCTCAAGAGAAAACTATACATAATGAAAAGAGCACATAAGGGTGTAGTATATTTATGTTAATGCTAGCCATGGCTTTGTCTTTGATGTAGCCTTTACACTGACTCTGAAGTACAGACTATCATCTTTAAGATACTGACAATTAGTGAATGGATTATACTCAAACTCCCAGGCTTCATGTGGTATAAATTTCTGATGACCCATTCCTACTGTGTTTCTACCTTCATTCACTCTTTCCTTACCTTGACCTGGTGTTGATTCATCAAATGATACATTTTCCTTTTTATGATTCTTATCCTCCAGTTGATTCAGTAGTTCTATAGTAACTTCTCCTTGAAATGGCCACTCCAATGTATCATCATATTCTCCTGCCTCAAGACACATGAAGCAAGAGACATGTGTACCTTTACCTTTGCCATTACCATTAGGATCAACACGTAGTGACATCTTATATCCTCCTGGTGATGTGTAGAAGCCTGGGCTGTACCATTTCTTATCTTCTTCTTTCTTGTCTTTGTAGCCATGTAGTTTAAAGACTTGTTGATTACTTGAATGCTGCATAGCATCAATCTTCTTCATTGCTATATCAAGATGTTGTTTCATTGACTCTTCATTGTGCTTCTCTTGTTCTTCTCTCTTCATTTTCTTATTACATCCAACAGTATTGTATTCACATGGTATGATAGCTTTAGGGCAGGTCTCATTGTGTGATCCTAGTGAATGTCGTGGTATCTTCTCATGGCAACCTTCATTACTGCATTGGTACGGGAGGTCTGGACACTCCTTTAAATGGCTTATGCTTGTTATCACTTGGTATGTGCCTTCTTGTTTGCAATACCTACAGTTGACTAATCGTTTAGGACATTTGTCTGTCAGATGTGTCTCCAATTTACTTCTCTTAATTTTCACCCCACACTCATTAGTACAATGTACCAGTTGATAAATACAACTATTAAGATGAGTATCAATATCCTTAATAGTCCCCATCCATCGGCACCCACTATCAGTGTTAGTACAATAAACCTTAAGTGACTTTATTCCCCTTTCTACTCTTCCATCTTTAAAGTACTTTCCTTCTAGTGAGCTACGACAAGTTGGGCAGATAAACCCTTGGCCCTTCTCTTTTAGTGTATCCAGACAGCTCTTACAGTATATATTGTAGCAGCAGGTAACTTGTTGAGGATCCCGTGCTACCAGTGTACAGATGTGGCATAGATACTCATCAGGAGGGTCACTATCAACAAAGTTATAGCTATAGCCACCATATGTCCACCTACTACTAGTAGCCATTGTATTGAACAGTTGATCACGTGATATACTTTGTGATCATGTGATAGTTTATTGTTAACCATTTTATTATTATTACTGTTTATACATCTTGTGCGTAGCCATTTATCGTGTGCATGAGAATGTTAAGGTACACACCCCTTGTGGTTCTGATTGAATCTTTTGGGGTGTGTTTATATAGCTGTAGTATATTTGTAGTTTTGTCTGTGTATTGTCATTGTGAGTAGGTTTTGTGTTAGAATATCTTGGTTTTGGTTTACAAAAACGGTACCAAATGGTGATTTGAGCTGATTGTTAACAGTATGAATTTTGCCCCTCCTATATAGATTGTGACATTTTACATGCATCATCTTCAGTCACATAATACTATATCCAACCATTAATGCATGAACATAGCAGTTTTAAGTGAAAACGAATAAACACTTATTTTTAACAACTTGTGTAATTAATTATTGATATTGTACTAATAGTATTATTTAGCAGATGTCAGCCATGGCTTTTTCTTTGATGTAACCTTCACACTGACTCTGAAGTACAGACTATCATCTTTAAAATACTGACAATTATTCATAGCATCATACTCTAATGCAGAATGTGGTATAAATTGATCTGTACCCCATCCTAGTGTATTATCTCCTTTGAATACTCTTTTCTTGCTTTCATCTGGTACGGATTCATCAAATAATACGATATTCTTCCAATGATTCTTATCCTCCAGTTGATTCAGTAGTTCTATAGTAACTTCTCCTTGAAATGGCCACTCCAATGTATCATCATATTCTCCTCCCATCAGACATATGTAGCAAGAGACGTGTGTGCTTTCACCATCATCATCACCATTAGCAACAACATTTAAATGCATCTTATATCCTCCTGGTGATGTGTGAAACTCTGGACTGTACCAATCTTCATCTTCTTTTTTCTCTGCATATTCACTTAGCTTAAAGACATGATTGGTTAACTGTAGAGCATCAATCTTCTTCATGGCTATATCAAGATGGTGTTTTATTGATTCTTCGTTGTGTTTGTCTTGTTCTTCTCGTTTCATTGTGATCTTACATCCAACAGTATTGTATTCACATGATATGATAGCTTTAGGGCAGGTCTCATTGTGTGATGCTAGTGAACGTTGTGGTATCTTCTCATTGCAACCTTCATTACTGCATTGGATTGGGAGGTCAGGACACTCATCAAGATGGCTTTCGCTTGCTATCAACTTCCACAGTCCTTCTTTTTTACAATACTGACACTGGGCTATTCGTTTAGGACAATTGTCTGTCAGATGTATCTCCAGTGCACTTCTCCTAATCTTCTCTCCACACTCATTAGTACAAGGTACCAGTTGATAGGTACAACTATTAAGATGAGTATCAATATCCTTAATAGTCCCCATCCATTGGCACCCACTATCAGTGTTAGTGCAATAGATCTCAAGTGACTTTATTCCCCTTTCTACTCTTCCATCTTTAAAGTACTTTCCTTCTAGTGAGCTACGACAAGTTGGGCAGATAAACCCTTGGCCCTTCTCTTTTAGTGTATCCAGACAGCTCTTACAGTATATATTGGAGCAACAGGTAACTTGTTGAGGATCCTGTGCTACCAGTGTACAGATATGGCATTGATACTCATCTGGAGGATCACTATCAACAAACTTGAAGTCATATCCACCTCCAGAGTCATCACATGTAGCCATTGTTACCATGTGACATTTACTAACTTATAGTTTATTAACCATTATAGATCTATTAATAAATTTTTGTTTGGGACATATTCTGGTTTTATTTAATGAATTTCTGTCAACATCTCATTCACTACAAACTTAGTATTTTTTGCTTATTGTACAGTTATACTTGTATAGCTACTGATACCATCTGTTCTTGCATACGATGGTTTGGTATGGGTTCTAGTATCCCATGATTATTTCAATTACTACCACTGCCCACCATTGTCACCCTAATAATACTCATACAAGCTATAGTGCCAAATGAAAAAGCAGATGCATAGATATGGCATCATGTGGTAGCTATAGATTCTATGTGATACATGTATTTGGTATTTCATGCATTGCATGGCTATGCTTGTGATTGAGCTTTAAGACTTTGAGAGATGATTGGTGATAAAACATTAGTAAAGTAAGAGTTAAGGTGTAGTGTATGCATAATGCCAATTATAATTTTAATGAGGATAAGAAAAAGACTGAGTAATATATATGTTTATGTGTACTATATAAAATAATATAAAAGAGTATTATCACTGTCATACAAGCATACAAACATTAATATTGTGCAAGTACATCTTGGTATGATTCAAAAAAATATGTCACCTTCCCTCAAGAGAAAATGATACATAATAAAAAGAGTACATAAGGGTGTATGTTTATGTCAATGCTAGCCATGGCTTTGTCTTCGATGTAACCTTTATACTGATTCTAAAGTACAGACTATCATCTTTAAGATACTGACGATTAGTAAATGGATTATACTTTAAAACTTCATGTGATATGAACCTATGATGGCCCAATCCTGTGCTTCTACCTTCATTTACTCTTTGCTTTTGTTCAGGTGGTGTTGATTCATTAAATGGTATGATACGTTTCATATGATTCTTATCCTCCAGTTGATTCAGTAGTTCTATTGTAATTTCTCCTTGAAATGGCCACTCCAATATATCATCATATTCTCCTGCCATCAGACATATGAAGCAAGAGACGTGTGTACCTTTACCATCACCATATCCATTAACATCAACATTTAATGACATCTTGTATCCTCCTGGTGATGTGTAGAAGCCTGGACTATACCAATCTTCACCTTCTTTTTTCTTTTTTGTGTATTGATTTATTTTCAAGACATGATTTTTTGGAAGTAGTACCTGTAGAGCATCAATCTTCTTAATTGCTATATCAAGATGTTGGTTTATTGCTTCTTTGTTATGTTTCTCTTGTTCTTCTCTCCTCATTACCTTATTACATCCAACAGTATTGTATTCACATGGTACGATTGCTTTAGGGCAGGTCTCATTGTGTGATGCTAGTAAACATCGTGGTATCTTCTCATTGCAGCCTTCATTACTGCATTGGATTGGGAAGCTAGGACACTCCTTTAAATGGCTCCTGCTTGTTATCAGTTGGTGTGTGCCTCTTTGCTTGCAATACTGACAGTTAACTATTCGTTTAGGACAATTGTTTGTCAGATGTGTCATCAGTTTACTTCTCCTCATCTTCACTCCACAATTAGTACAAGGTACCAGTTGATAGGTACAACTATTAAGATGAGTATCAATATCCCTAATAGTCCCCATCCATTGGCACCCATTATCAGTGTTAGTACAATAAACCTTAAGTGACTTTATTCCCCTTTCTACTCTTCCATCTTTAAAGTACTTTCCTTCTAGTGAGCTACGACAAGTTGGGCAGATAAACCCTTGGCCCTTCTCTTTTAGTGTATCCAGACAGCTCTTACAGTATATATTGGAGCAGCAGGTAACTTGTTGAGGATCCCGTGCTACCAGTGTACAGATGTGGCATAGATACTCATTGGGAGGATCATCATCAACAAAGCTGTAGCTATAACCACCATATGTCAAGCCACTACTTGTAGCCATTGTAAATGATTGTAATAAACAATCGATCACGTGATAGACTATGTGGTAACTATTAGATCACGTGATAGTTTATATTGTTAACCATTTATTATTATTACTGTTTATTTTACTATTTTTACTATCTATAGCCTCCTTGTGCTCCTACTTCTGTAGCCATTTATCCTCTGGTCATATGAGTATATGTTGACACACATCCCTTGTGGTTCTCATTGAAGTGGAGTGTGTTTATATAGCTATAGTATATTTTTTGTGTTTGTGTCTGTGTATTGTGTCAAGTATGTTTGTGGTAACACATTTGGTTTAGATTAAGCATAATAAAGAATTTGAACATTTTATGATTATTGATTTTAATAGGTAGAAACTTTTGGGAGTTACTTTGAATGATTTTGTTGATTTTGTGAAATTAAAATCTGCAAAAAAATGGTACAAATGGTGATTCTGACTTGTTGTATGAATTGCCCCTCCTAGTATAGATTGTGACATTTTACATGCACCAGCTTCAATGAAATAACACTATAACAAACCATTAATGCATGAACATAACAAGTTTAAATTAAAACAGAATAGCAATTATAGCAACTCATGTATGTATTATTAATTATGTTATTGTACTACTAATGTTATTTAGCAGATGTCAGCCATGGCTTTGTTATTGATGTAACCTTCACACTGACTCTGAAGTACAGACTATCATCTTTAAGATACTGACAATTAGTAAATAGATCATAGTCTAACTCTTCATGTGATATGAACTGTGAACAACCCCATCCACCTGCCCTTATATCTTCCCACAATCTTTGTTTGCTAGTATCTGGTGTTGATTCATTAAATGATATCGTAATTTTCTTATGATTCTTATCCTCCAGTTGATTCAGTAGTTCTATAGTAACCTCTCCTTGAAATGGCCACTCCAATGTATCATCATATTCTCCTGCCTCAAGACGTATGAAGCAAGAGACATGTGTACCTGTACCTTTACCAGTACAAAGACCATTAGGATAGACACGTAGTAACATCTTATATCCTCCTGGGGATGTGTAGAAGCCTGGGCTGGACCAACCTTCTTCTTCTTCTTTCAACTCTGTGTATTCATTTAACTTCAAGACATGTTTTCTTGGAAGTAGTACTGTGACCTGTAGAGCATCAATCTTCTTCATTGCTATATCAAGATGTTGTTTCATCGATTCTTCATTGTGCTTCTCTTGTTCTTTTCTCTTCATTTTCTTATTACATCCAATGGTATTGTATTCACATGGTATGATAGCTTTAGGGCAGGTCTCATTGTGTGATGCTAGTGAACGTCTCAATATCTTCTCATTGCAACCTTCATTACTGCATTGGATTGGGAGATCAGGACACTCATCAAAATGGCTGCTGCTTGTTATTTGTTGATATGTGCCTCTTTGCTTGCAATACTGACACTTAACTATTCGTTCTAAACAGGTGTCTGTTAGATGTGTCTTCAGTGAACTTCTCCTAATCATTGCTCCACACTCATTAGTACAAGGTACCAGGTGATAGGTACAACTATTAAGATGAGTGTCAATATCCTTAATAGTCCCCATCCATTGGCACCCACTATCAGTGTTAGTGCAATAAACCTTAAGTGACTTTATTCCCC